ATATTTTATTTTTTATTAAAAAATTAATACTTTTTTTTTATGTTCGCAGGCAAATTTGCCTGCTCTACAGTTTAAGGAATAATATTAATATAAATTACAAATTTTTTATTATTTATTATATTTTTTATCTATATTTATTATCTTATAAAAATCAATTAGATTCTATTAATAAAAGTTTATAACATAATAAAACTGTGAAAATAAAAAAATTTTTTTTTTTTTTTGAATAAAAATATTTTTTATTTACATTTACAAAATGCATATATTAATATGCAAATTAAAGCGCTTATTGTCTTTTTGCATTTTATTATTATTATTATTATTATTATTAAAATTATTATTAATTTTGCTTTATTTATTATTATTATTATTATTATTATTATTATTTTAATTTTAATTTTAACCCAACCATCCGATCGGTATTTAACTAATTTTTCATATAAAACAAAATATATGCCGATCGATCAGTCGGTTGGTTAGGATTTTCCACAGCAGCGACCTCTTCTGACGATATCGTCGAAATCGCCGTATCGTCTACGTGATGCCATTCGTTATTCTTACGAAGTATGTCAGCTGTGTAATGCCCACCAGTGGCCGACTTCCCGTGATGGTATACGACTATTAAAAATTTTTTTTAGATCACACATCTCAACAACGTAATAAGTACTTAATAATAATAACTTACCTCCGAAGAGTCTGTAATCTACTGCTTTTCTAGGGCGACGTGTAGGGGAAAAGATTTCTATAAAATAAATAATACAATAAAAAAAATAAGCATATTGTTGTTATAAATTCTTATCACAAAAGTGTAAAAATAATTACCGGGCTGAATCGACAATGTTGTCGAGTACCCAATATGTTTACTGAGTTTTTGCGTTCCACCAACGTTATCATAAACGAACCTTTTCAAATGGAGAGTTAATATCGGTGGAAGCTCCTCAATATAGAGACGCTTTGTAGCTCGTACCTATAAAGTGTAAAAAAAAAAATTTTTTTTTAAAAAAGATTTCTATACTATACATAGCACCAAACTATTAACGTACTAATCCATTTTTGGGCGAGTAGAAGTCATCCACGTATTCTGGGACAGTTAAGTTTTTTAGAGCATCCCCAATTGTTTTTACGTCATTCGGCTAAAAATAATGAATTAATATAATATCTTATGTGTATACTAACGAATAGTAAATAAATTTACCTGTATATCAAGCTGCAGTGACTGATATGGTTGCAATGTGATGGAATCAGCGCTTCCAGGACAAGTTAATTCCGATCTGAATTTACCACCGAATATGTGACTAATTGGCGTTTCTTCAACATCGGTCTATAATAGAAGTAAAAAATGAGTATCTAGATCCACGAGTTAGAATTAAAATATTTACTATAAATTGCCTCTATCGACGTACCATCCTGGTAAAACTTGTTCGATTCTTAGGACCAACTTCCATCCAACCATCATCTTTAACAGTTTTATCGAATTGTTGAATATGGAGATTATCATCTTTTTTGAGAGCTATCATCAATCGTTATATAACTTTTAATTTTTCGAATTATAACAATAGAACTAAACGTTATTTAGATAAATTTACCTGCTAAAAACTCTTCATGTAGTCCATCAAGGAGGAACCCAAGAAATTCTTCGGCATCTTCCTGGCGCCCTTTCATGGAATCGAAACGTTTGAGTCCTCTTAATGCATTATATACATATTCAGGGGAGAACGCTTCTCCGAATTCTAAGATAAATAAATGTATTATAAATTATTTTATAATTTAAACCTTAATATAATTCAATTCGTATATCGTACAATTATAGATAAAATATACCTTCGACACCTTCGGGACGTTTAGGTTGCTTGTATTCATTAATAAACCTCACCCTTTAAATTATAAAATAAAATAATATAATGTTATTCATAGAAGCAGCATAATGGTAATTGTTAAGTTGATTTATAGACAAACTTACAAAGAATCGACAAGAGGCGTCTTACTATTGAAGTTATGAGCGACTTCTTTATTAATGAGTGCGAGTAGGTTACAGAACGGTGGACAATGTGAGAGTGTTTGTAATATCTTATATTAAAATATTAAAGACGTTTAGAACGTTGAAAAACATCCATCATCATTTTATAAAAAGCTCGAACATACCGCGTTCATAAAACACATATTACCATTATTTATGAGTCCTCGCGGACCCATCGTTACATTCTCGAAAGATGGATCAAAATCCTTCAGCAAGTCTATTAATATAAGAATAGCGTTAATATCGTACAAATGAAGTAAAAAGGTATGTAATCCATAAATCGAGCTGCTATTTTACCTGTTAATCCTCCTACTTTGGGCCTTCCATTCGTTAATGGAACAGCTAGTTTTTGTGGCTTTCGTGATTTGATAGGAGAATCAGGAGGCTTTGTGTTTGATTTAGAATTATCGGCTACAACTGTAGCAAGCTTTGAATTTTCGCCTTTCGGGAAAAGGTCGGCCCAACGCATTGTTGACGATTTTTTAGGTGAAATCACATCATTTGAATTATGCTGGATTTCGGGTGCATTTTCATTTATCGATCGTTCGCTTGATGATTGATTATTTGAAGATAAAATTACTGAATTATTTGTCTGTGCAACTTGTGTTAATCCATTATTCAGATCATTATTTTTATTGTTTTCGGGAACTGTAGTCGGAGATTTTTCATTAATATGAACATTTGATGTGGAATGCTTTACGGCCTTGATCGTTTGCTGATTGACTGTGGAAGTAAAATGAAAAGCAGTATTCGGTGACGTTATTTGCATTGCCTTCATGGCCGCTTGTGAAAATGATATATTATGTTTATTACTACATTCTAGTGGCTTTGAAATAGCTTTTATTTTTACACCGCCTAATTTGAAATTTGATGTTTTTAGAAAAATTTTTTTAAAATTAAAAAATTTTTTTTAATATAAGTGAACGTATAAATTACCTCTCCTTAGAGGTGGATACCCTATATTAAATGGCACCTGAAAAAAAAAAATCATTTTAAGTTAGAAAATCTGGCTATAAGAAGGCTTAGAAAGACGCAATCAGAAAAAGTATATGCCTTTGATGCCATGTTTTTTTGTGTATTTTTTGTGATTGCTTCAATAGCTTCCCTTCCTGAGAAGGACCCGTATATCGGTTTAAATTCCTTATAACAAAGTAAGTTAAGCATTTTAACATTTGTAGCAAAAGTAATCAAACATTTGATCAAAAGTTATGAAAAAGCTAACCTTTTGTGAATGCATGTTTATTTGTGCGAGTATTTTCTTTTAAAGTGAAAGAGTAAATAACTTTAAGTTTATTGGAGATTTTGAAATTTAAAAGCACTAATTCAGTGTTACGTTAATAATCAAATTAATAAACACTTGCACGATGCGAGTGATAAACCTTTTGCTTATTTATATTTTACCTGAATTGTTCAAAAACTTCGACAAAATTATAAAAGTTTTGTGAGATCGTTATTTCAAAAGTCTTGAAAAACTCTAATTGTTGGTTAGGAACCTAAAAGGATTGATTTTGATGGGACAGTGTCTCCATTCCTTCGTAATCACAATAACCAATTACTGATGGAAAACTAATCACGTGATAGACTACCAAATCATTTACCTAGAAAACCTATGGATATTTTTTTTTATTACAAATATTTTTTTTCAGATTTATGATAATATAAAATTAATAAAAAATGAAACTACATTAATGATAATTAAAATAATTAAAATAAAGTAAAACATACATCTATTTAAATTCATTTGCCGTAAAGCGTTCTTTAAACTCTTCTTCCCCTGTAAATTTACAATCGGATTTTATAAAAAAATTTTTTTTTTTTTAAAATTTCTCTTCCATTAAACTGTTCGGATGTAACACAAATTAGGTGATTGACGCAAATAAAAGATGTGATAATCTGGTTTTGACTTTTTGAACTCAAAAATGATTTTTTCATTTCGACGTTTGCCACCCAGAGTTAACTTTAAACAAAAAAGCCCTTTTCACTTTTAATGGATCTTATATGAAAGGTATTGCTGTCAAAAATCTACTAACTCATCAGCGGAAGCTCATGATTTAATCGCATCTCTACGCTCAAAAAATGTATTTTTTATGGACTTTCCGATGATTAATCAAATATATGCTGAACAGCAAACAAAAATGACGAAATTATATGGAGGGATGTTGCAAGAGACGAGACAAATATTGAATAGCATAAAGAAGAATTATTAACAATTAGTGATAAGCATAAGGAAGAATTATTAATAATGAACGAAAAGCATAATGAAGTGTTACTTAAATTAACAGAGAAACGAAAGGATGATGAAGCTGAATTAGTTCGCGTACAGCAAGATTGTTTAAACTTCTAAAAATCACTACGTTAGGGAAGCTTTGGGGTTTATCTGCGGTCGGGTAAGTCTTTATGCGTCAAACTTTTTTTTACATTTTATTTATTATAATTTTTCTTCAATAGATTATTTACAAGAAAGCTATAGATCCTCTCGATATACATGAACCTATTGATAATTTGTTAGAAACGACGTTAAATGAAGATGCATATTTTAAGGAGAAGACGTGTAAGGTGAATAATGTGACAACAGATGCCGTGAAGAAATGTATTGGTGGTCTGTATCATACGTCATCAAAAGGACTTCATGGTTACGACAAAATTGCGATTCGTGCAAAAAGATTGGGAGATAAATGAGATAATTGCCTTGGGTCTCATTTTCAAATATTATCGTATTCCTTTCATTTATTGGGATGAGCCGGATCGAGAGGCGAAATTTCCATACGAGTTAGCAGTTTAATCATGTGATCCAACCTACTTTATGCAAAAATCACAGATAAAACGTATATTTTAACAGATGCAAAAATCTTTAGTTTTAATTTTTCTGAAAAATATGAATAATTTTACCAAATGATTTATTATTTTTTTGAAATGAATTTTACATTATTCTAGTCAAATAATGATTATTGTTCCAAAATAAATGATTTATATTATGATAGTTCTCGATTGAACCAAAGGAGTTTTATTTTTTGTTTTTCATAAACATTTTTCCAATAATATCTTTTTACTATGCATAGCCATTTAAATTGACAACATTAAAAGATTTTTATTAATAATATTAATACTAAACTTTCTTGCGTTAATACTTTACATATTAAATCGGCATATTATATCTGAACCGTTTAACTTTTAAAACTTAAAAGAATTTTGAGAAGTAAACGATACAGAAATTCAAATTACATTTGAAAAGAATAATTAAAAAATAAAATAAATAAATAGATAAAATAAAATAGTACCGCAAGCACTTCCAACAGCAGTGTTCATAAAATTCTCAAATTATAACGGACCCACTATAGCAACCATAGAAGAGGAAGAAGTTGTTCTGATAACACCTATCAGACGTACAGTGCACGAAAAAAGTTTTCGGAATAAAATTCAGTATAGAAAACTTTTAATAATTCGCGCAGTATTGCAGTTAT